GCAGCGCGCCGTCTGCATGCTGAGCAACACCACGGCCATCGCCGAGGCCTGGGCTCGCCTGGACCACAAGTTCGACCTGATGTACGCCAAGCGCGCCTTTGTGCACTGGTACGTGGGCGAGGGCATGGAGGAAGGCGAGTTCTCTGAGGCACGGGAAGACATGGCCGCTCTGGAGAAGGATTACGAGGAGGTGGGCCTGGACTCCTACGAGGATGAAGAGGAGGGTGAGGAGTAGAAAAGCCTCAACCAAAAAGGACCATGCTCCTTCCCAGTGTTACCTGCAGAAACCCTTTGCAATAAACCATTTCAGAGCCTCTGTGTCTCCCACTATCCCCCCAGCTGTATCAGTTTCTTGCCAGGTCAGGTGTGTGGTGACTGCTTCAGCCCTGGTACTGGTGCTGCTATGCTTCCTCCCAGCGCTCTGCTCCAGCTCCGGCTTGCTTCCCATGTAGGTAATAGCCCTGGGGTCCAGTCCCTGGGGCTGTGGCACACATCCCAGCCCCGTCACTGCTCCAGTCAGTGGTGGGTACCGCTTCCTCATGTGATGTATGGCCCCATGTTGTACCCTGGAGCTCAGGGGAGCAGAATAATCTGAGCAGGAAAAGTTTGGCAGCTGCTGGGTCTTCTCTCCATGTGCAGCCTGAGGATAGGCAGGCACATCTGGAAGGATAGTGCTTGGAGCAGTGGGAGCAGTCTGGTACCCCTGTCCCTGTGGCCACAACGCAGGGCAAAGGGCATGCCCGGCTCTCTGGTGCAGTGGGTGCACCCTGCAAGGGCACCTGGCATGGCTCAAACCCCTGCAGCTGCTGTACTGGTGTGTGGTGAGAGGATTAAAGGAGGGGAATGCTCCCTGTGAAACTGCTTGTCTGCATCTCTTTTTTTTTTTTAGCACCCCTCTGTGGACAGCCCAGTTGCTGTGTGTCCCAGTGAGCCCCTCCAGCCAAGGCAGCCTGCTGGACTGGGAGTTTCCCAGCACTGGGGTGGTTGTGCTGTCCCCAGGCTCTGCTCACCCCCCACCCCAGAGCAGAGCTGCTGCTCCTGCCTCCCAAGGTCTGGCAGCTTCCCAGTCTCCCCCTCCCTCTCCCTGGGCAGCAGAGAAGTTTGGCCTGTACCCCTGCCACCCCCCTTCTGCCTGTGCTGAGCCCTGTCCTGCAGTGCCCAGCCCCAGAGGCTCTAACAGCAGTGCCTGGCTCCAGCTGTAGAGTTGTGTTAGCTCCTGTCAGGACCGTGCTGGGGCCAGGGATTAACTTTCCCTGCTTACTGCTAATGCTCTGTCTATGCCTCCCTGGCTGGCCTCTGCTGCCCTTCCCCTCCAGTAACGCTTGGCTGCTTAACCCAGACAGTGTGCCCTGCTCTCCCCTGATCTGGCAGGATCCCTCCCCACAGACAGCGACACAGCCACACCTCCGCAAGAATGTATTTTACTTCAAACACAAGGCAACGTTGGTGCCAAGAGCAGTGGCAGAGTGGGCACTGGGGCCCTCTGCCTCTCTCCAGCACAGCACCGGGACCCAGCCTGCAGTTCTGCCCTGGACAGGAGTGACCTTCCTGGGGCACAGAGCTGCGGGACCGTGGCTCCTGCCCCCTGGGGGTCCTACAGCATCCTCTTCTGTTACCCTCGGGGCAGGCAGCAGCCAGTGAGGGCCCCATGTTTAGCAGCAGATCACACATCCACAGCTCTGAGGCACAGACCAAGGCCCAGGTAGCAGCATCCAGGGCACAGAACACTCCAAATCCAACACACCTCCAGCACAGAGCAGCAGCTCTCCCCCAGGGCATTAGTTCCCTCTGCAACAGGTCTGCAGAGGAGCAGGGATTAGGGCAGCCGCTTTTTCCCTGGCTCAGCCTTGGGGCACATCACCACTGGAATGGGATGGGCTCAGATCTGCGTGGTGTCCTGTCCCGACGGTGCTGGCTGCAGCCCCTCCAGCTGGTGGAGGATGTCATCTATGCTGGGTCGCTCCTGGGGGTTCACTGTCATCATGGAAGATAGCAGGCGCTGCAAACCAGCTGAGTACCTGGAAGGAAAGACAGCCATGGGGAGACCCATGCGGAGCACAGGACAGGGGGCTACCCAGGAGTGGGGTCACCCTCCCCAGCCCCTCACCTGGTTGTGGGGGGAAACGTGATGGGGTTCTGCACTGCCAGAGCCACACTGTCACCCTTCTGGAAGATGGCATCAAAGGGGCCCTCCCCAAACATCATGCAGTACAGCACACAGCCTAGGGACTGGAGCACAGTGGGGTCAGAGCAGCTTTGTGGCGGTGGGACAGGGTGGGCCAGGGGGCTGGATCCTTACCCAGATATCCGTGCGCTCATCTATGACGCACTGGCTCGGCACCGTGAAGAGCTCGGGAGCACGGTAGGAGATGGTGCAGCGCTGGGCAGCCCAGTCCTGCAGAGGGGAGAGTGGGGATGAAGGGCTTGGGGCAGGGAGAGCTGGTGGGGTGATGTTCCAGGCCACCCACCTGCACAGCCATGGCCTCCCGAGAGCTGTTGACTTCTATTCGAGCTTGGTTCATGGAACCCAGGTCCATCAGCACAGGCTGGTCATCCTCATCCAGCAGCACATTGGTGGGCTTGAGGTCTCTGCAGGGATGGACATCACCAAGCACCCACTGGGGCCCCTGCCAACCCCCCCAGCCAGCACTACCAGCCCCTCACCTGTGTGCATAGCCCTTGCTGTGGATGGCTTGCAGGCCACGGCAGATCCCATGGAGGATGAGGAGGATCCGCTGCTCTGGCATGAAGGTCCCTTTTTCTCGCAGTGCTTCCACCTCTCTCCAGAGGGTCCCCCCCTGGCAAATGCAAACAGCTGGTAACCACTGCTGCTCCTGGGGTGGTGGAGCAGCCAGGAAAGCCCCCCTCACCTTTACATAGGGCAGAAGAAGCCAGGCTTCGTGCTTGGCGCCCTTCTCCACCATGGCATGGGCCACCAGGCGCAGGATGTTGGGGTGGTCGAAGAGGCCATGCATCTCCACCTCGTGCAGGGCGGCCTGGCGGTCCTCCTTGTCGTGGCACAGGATGCGCTTCAGGGCATAGAAGCGCCCATCCCGCAGCCCCTCTACCAGGTCCACATAGCTGAAGCCCCTGCAAGCACAGCATGGGCTGAGCACTGTGGCATCCATGTCAGGGCCTTGTGCCCAGTCTCAACTATGAGCACCCAGGGGAGAGGCCGGAGGGCAGCAGGAATCCCTCAGACATGCCAAAGCATCTCTCCTCTGCATGAAAAACGCCACTGGCCCAATCACCCCCATTGCCATGGCTCTGAGCACCCACTCCTTGGCATGACCGACCCCTGCCACCTAGCATGAGAATCCACCGCCACACACAAGCATGCCCTGTGCTGAAGCATCATCCCCCACCAAGCCCAAGTATTTCCCCCATGCCCCAACATGACCTGAGCTCAAGCACTTCCCCACCCTGCCCAATCATTCCCTGTGCTAGAGCATCACCCCCATGCCCAATCACGTCCCCACGCACAAGGACCCCCCTTACCTAAGCATCTCCCTATGCCTGAGCATCAACTCCACGCCTGAACATTCCCATGCCAACATCCCCCATGCATGGGGGATGCCCCATGCACAAGCACACCCCTGCCCAAGCACGCCCGCCATACTCGAGCACTCCTCCAGCAAAAGCGCCCCCAGGCCCGCGTGCCCCGCCATACCCGAGCATCCCCCAAGCCCGAGCATCCCCCATGCCCTAGGATATCCCCCCCCGCCCGTGGACACCCCTTGCCCGAGCATCACTCCCAGAGCCCGGGGACCCCCCGCCCGAGCCCCCCGCGCCCCAGACGGCCGCGCACCCCTCTGCCAGGCGGTGGAGCAGGAGGTACCGCGCTCCCCCCAGGCTGACGGTGCCCCGGGAGCAGACGCACAGCGTCTGCCCCATCGCCCGCCCGCGTCATCGCCCTCCGCCGCGCGTCACCCGCCGCGTCACCCGCCGCGTCACCCACCGGGCGGGGCCCCGCCGCCTCCCGCTCCGCGGTGCCGCCGCTGCGGCGGGATCCCGGGCTCCCTCCTCCGTGCGAGCAGCCCCGGGCAGCCCCTCTAGGTGCCCCTGACGTGGTGGCATCCCCCGGTGGCGGTAGCGGTGGCGGCCCGCAGCCCCGCCCCTCGCGGGGCTGGCCCCGGTGAGCCAAGCCCCTCGCACGGGCGAGCGGGTCGGCGGTGCAGGGCACAGAGATGACGGAGCCACCTCAGCGGAGCTCGTCGTGCCCTGCGGCACCTCCCGACACACCTGTCATCAGCTCTGTCACCTGCTCTGGCCCTCGATCCGGGGACGTTTTCCGTTCCCTCAGCCAGCAACAGCATCCCTCCTACCAGAGCTACAGCCGAGGTTTCTGTCACCACCTTCCTGATGGAAGAAGAGGCCTGAGCTCACTGGAGGGGTTCTGCCTGGTGGTGCTACTTTTATGAGGCTCCTTGTCTCCCCACGTGTGCCACCCACTGTTCCAGGGGGCACCGGGGACGTGCCCGCCGGCCAGAGCTGTCTTGGTGGTGTGCCGCCAGCATCCCCTGCTGGGTGGGCATTGGAGGGGCTGATGTGCGCTGGCCAGGCGTGCGGGGTCGGAGCCGCCCACCCCGTCCAGTGGTCCCGCCCCATCCGTGCCGCTGTTCCAGCTGCTTCCACTTAATATCTGGAGGAAGCAGCGCCTGGCGCTGGCCAAGATCCTTCTCGGATCATGTGATGATGGTATCCACGTCCAGCTTCGTCCTCTGCCCCGGGCCTGCCGAGCACCCGGCGAGGATGGGGCTGCCGGCCCTAGCCCTGCTGCTGGCGGTTGGGCTCCTGAGTACGCAGGTTAGCAAACATGAGTGAAAAAGTTTGGGAGAAACGTGTGGGGCTAAGCTATGAAGGATCCGGTAGGACGACTCCAGAATCTGCCTTGCTTCCCTCTCCGTGTTCCTACTCTTCCTGCTATGGCTCCCCCATGCTGCCGCCCACGTCCCGTTCCAATGTCCCGCTTGCATTTCCAGCTCCCTGCCTGTCCTTTCAGCACTCCTCCTCAGCAGAACCCGTTCCCCAAAATGCCACTAGCTCAGCTGCCGGATGTTTGATTAGCGGGGAGGGCCGTCAGGCTGTGTGAATGGTTGCTCTGCTTATCCCTTCTGCTCTCCCAGGGCACTGTGGTACCCTCCTCGGGGGAGAGGCCCGCCAGGAAATAGCCCCCATCAGTCTCTGTCCCAGGGAGCATGGGAGGGGGCAGCTGGGCTTGGGGAGGGTCTTCAGCCCTCCTAGAACTGCCACTCTCCCGCAGGCCTCCCCCTCAGCACGCTCCTTCCAGGTGGATTACGAGTGCAACTGTTTCCGTAAGGACGGTGTCCCTTTCCGCTACATCTCAGGCAGCATCCACTACGCCCGTGTCCCACGCCCTGCCTGGAGGGACCGGCTGCTCAAGATGCACATGAGTGGACTCAGCGCCGTGCAGGTGTAAGCCCCGATGGCACACAGCCCACTGCCACCACAGCCACTCAGGGCTTCTGGGATCCCTGGAGCAGGAACAGAGACAAAGGTGTTGTCCGACCACGGGGAGAAAGGTCCAACACATGCACTGAGCTGTTGTTTCAGGACAGCCCTGCCAGACACAGGCATGAACCTGAGCTAGTGCCAGTCCAGCCCCAGTTGCCATAATCAGCTCAGGCTGGAGGCCAGTTCCCAGAAGCAGAGGGACCAGCTGGTGGGATGCTTCCCTGTCCTACTGGAGTACCCTTAACCCCTGCATGCTGATCTCTCCTCTTGCCCCAGATACATTCCCTGGAACTACCATGAGATGCTGCCAGGGGTTTATGACTTTGCTGGGAATCGGGATGTGGAAGCCTTCCTGGACCTGACAGCTGAGCTGGGACTTCTGGTGATCCTGCGGCCAGGGCCCTACATCTGTGCAGAGTGGGAGATGGTGAGCCCTCATGCCCAGCCTGGCACAGAGGGGTGACAGGTGGTCTGGGAAGGGCTCAGTAGGATTGGCCTTTCTGGCTGTCACGGGGACTCCAGTGTCATGTCAGCCCAAGATGCTGCCCTGTGGGGCACATGCTGCACTGGTGCTGAGCATTAGCACTGTGTTGGCTGGTTTCAGCTGTGTGTCAGCCTGGGCTGCTGAGCAGTTTCTTTGCCTTCCTCTCTGCTGTGTGTGTTTCTCCAGGGTGGCCTGCCTGCCTGGCTGCTGTGGAAACCAGACATCATCCTGCGCTCCTCTGACCCTGGTGAGGTTCAGCACAGGGCTCTGGCCACTGTGTTCTTACAGCCTGATGCCAGCCCTGGCACACTGCTATCTCTCCACACACCTGCCAGCCCCATGTGTGTTGCCTTTCTTATGGTCTTCTCCATCTTTTGGGAGCCTCGTGGTTTGTACTCCAGCTCTGCTTCCCCATTGTGCTTGGCCCTGCCCGTCTGTTTTATCTTCCTCCTGGCAGGCTGATTGCAAGTGGGCTGGGGTGGATGCTGCAGCCAGACTGAGCTGCCCTCTGTCACCCCAGCCTACCTGGCAGCTGTGGACTCCTGGCTCCATATCCTGCTGCCCAAGATCAAGCCACGCCTGTACCAGCATGGGGGAAACATCATCAGTGTGCAGGTAAGGTGCTGTGGGGCCCAGCTCCCTGCCCTGCCCTGGGTCACCTTTGGATGTGCCCCAAAAAGGTACCTGTACACCCTACACCATGACCTCACCCAGTACAGCTCAGATAAATCCCTCTCAACCTCTGGACCTGGGTCTAAATCCAAGGGCTGAGACTCTGAGGTACCTGCCATCAGCCCAGTTGTGGTTTGAGGGACACTGGCAGAGCTAGGGCTCATGGTGGGGCTGGAAAGTCATTTTCAGGACGCACCTGAGGGTTTTCACTACATCTGATGACGTCAGGAGGAAAGGGTGGAGTTGGGTGTTTATCCCAGTGGGTAGTGGGACTTGGCTGCAGCCCTGTCATGTGCATGCTGGGTGCCAGCCCCTGCCTTGCTCACAGGTGGAGAATGAATATGGGAGCTACTATGCCTGTGACTATGGATACCTGCAGCACCTGCTGAGCTCCTTTCGGGCGCTGCTGGGGAGCGAGGTGCTGCTCTTCACCACCGACAGCACACGAGCAGAGGAGCTGCGCTGTGGCACCCTGCAGGGGCTCTACGCCACCATCGACTTCGGACCAGGTACCCCTATGGGGGAGGAGGAGGACAAGGAGAGGGGATGGGGATCCCTTCTCTGTCCTGCTCAAACCACCCCTCTCTACCTCCACAGGATCCAATGTGACAGAGGCGTTTGATGCCCAGCGCCGTGTGGAACCGAAGGGCCCCCTGGTGAGCTTGGCATGGGCACTGTGGGGGGATGACCTGGGATGGCTTTGGGGAGGCAGAGGAAAAGAGGGGTGCTGGGGCCAGGCTGCAGGTGAGCAGGGGGAATGTGGATGACAAATGGGTGCCAGGAGCCTCAGCTCCAGGTGGGTGACAGTGCCTTTCTCCCCCAGGTAAACTCTGAGTACTACACAGGTTGGCTGGACTACTGGGGGGAGGCGCACGCCAGCACCAGCGCAGCGTGGGTGGCCCGGGGGCTGGAGGACATGCTGCAGCTGGGAGCCAATGTCAACATGCAAGTAGTCAGCTAGCAGGGGGCACAGCCAGCAGGGGAGTTGGCATCACCTCTACCTTCATCCCACAGGGATGAAGGCAGGGCTGGGACTATGGGTGCAGCAGGGAGGGGGCAGTGCGTGGTTAGTCCCTGCTAAGTCTGTGTGGGTGCTGACTGGGCTCTCTGGGGTGTATCATAGGTACATGTTCCATGGAGGGACGAACTTTGCCTACTGGAGTGGTGAGTAGGGCTTTGCCCTAGGGTGAGGGGCACTGCAGAGCTGAGGGGCTTTCCTTGGCCATCCCTGAGGAGCCTGCTTCAGGCTCTTGTTCTTTCCCATGCAACTGGCTGACACGTAGCCAAGGGCCCCTGAACCCAAGCTTGTCCTCGCCTGGAGACTCCTTTTGTCCCTAGGGAGGGGTCCACAGTTTGGGATCATACCCTCCAATTGCATTGCAGCCAGCTTGGGGCTGGCTTCCATGTTCTGGGCTGTGCCAGAGCCCCTTCCTGCTTCTCACATTGCTTCCCCGGCCAGGTGCTGATTACAAGGACCAGTACAAACCAGTGACCACCAGCTATGACTATGATGCCCCCCTGTCAGAGGCAGGAGACCCCACCGAGAAGCTGTTTGCCATCCGCACGGTCATCAGCAAGGTACCGAACCTGGCAAGACAAAGGGGACAGTACGGGGTACCACTGCCTATGCCAGGACAGAGGGGAACATAAAGGGTCCCAGCAGGGCAAGGGACATCTCCCTGCTTGCCCCAGGGGGCAGCTGACAGTTTACTGTTCAGTTCCAGCCCCTGCCAGTTGGTCCGATGCCACCTGCCACCCCCAAGTATGCCTATGGCCAGGTAGCCCTGCAGAAGGTGAGTGCCTGTCCTAAGGGCTGTGCTGCCCTGGCCTGGCACTGCTCAACTGCCCAGCACCTAAACCTCCTTTGCAGTATGCTGACCTCCTGGATGTCTTGGATGTGCTGTGCCCCTCTGGTCCCATCCAGAGCCAGTTCCCCCTCACCTTTGAGGCCATAAAGCAGGTGAAGGGCTGGGGATAGTGGGGTACACTTGGGGAGATGCTCCTGTCTGCCTGGCCCTGGCTCTGGGGCGGAGGAGCAGAGCTCATCTCCAGCACCGTTTCCCCTCTGTGCCGCTGTGCTGTGTCCTGCAGGCCCATGGCTTTGTGCTGTACCGCACACAGCTGCCCCGGGACATCCTGGACCCAGCCACACTGGGTGCTCCGCCCCACAGCATCTGCGACTGCGGCTACGTGATGCTGCAGAAGGTGAGGTTGTGGGAGCACACCAGTCCCTGGGCCAGTGCTCAGGAGGGCTGTGGGACAACCAGGAGTGGGGCTGTGCTATGCTAGGGTCTTGGGGACAGCCAGAGTGCTGAGAGCCACCCTGAGCCCTTGTGGTGTGGCTCTCTAGCCCAAATCTGTTCCCTTTGGGGGCAGATTCCCTAGGCTGGCTCTGCGAGGGCTGGCAGCATTGGGGGTGGTAGGATCTGAGGACAGGCTGGCAGCACTGACCTTGTGGCTTTAGGAGTACCAGGGGATGCTGGAGAGGTATGGGCAGATGACACTGCGTGTGACAGGCAAGGAAGGGGACACCCTGGACATGCTCCTGGAGAACATGGGTAGGATCAGCTTTGGGGCCAACGTCAGTGACTTCAAGGTAAGAGAGAGCCCTCCAAGAGGGAATGGCCTGGCCACCCACGTGACCAAACACCCCCTCTACTGCCACCTGTGACAGATCCCAGCCTTCGGGGGGCCACCCCAAGTCCTGTTCCTTGGTTCATCTCACACCATTCCTGGCAAACCTGCTAGGACAGGACTAAGAGACTGGCACCTCTCTCCCACTTAAGCTGCCATGGCAACCAGGGCCCTTCAGCCCCTCGGAGAGAACCTTATCCCACCTTTGCTGCTGCTGGGGAAGCCAAGTATTCTTTTGCCTGTGGCAGACGCTGCTGCCTCATTTTCCCTCCTGTTCCATCTCAGGGCTTGTTGGGAAACATCTCCTTGGACTCTATTCCTCTCAGCAACTGGCTGATCTATCCCCTGGCCATAGATACTGCAGTCCAGCAGGGCTGGCCCCACGCTGCCCTGCCAAAATCAAGCAGCAAAGGCAGAGCAGGGCCAGCCTTCTACACCGGGACCTTTGAGACCCCTGGTGTTGCCTGGGACACATTTGTGAAGTTCCCAGGTTGGAGCAAGGTAAGGCAGTGCCAGGAAAGGGGGTGAGGGTAGAGCAGGACACAGCTCAGTCCCATCTCCATCATCTTCCAGGGACAGCTGTGGATAAATGGCTTCAACCTGGGCCGGTACTGGACCCACCGTGGGCCCCAGCAGACCCTCTTCGTGCCCGGCTCGGTGCTGCATGTTGGCCGTCCCAACAACATCACAGTGCTGGAGCTGGAAGGGGCACCCCTCACCCCCCTCTTGCTCTTCCTCGACCGACCCCTTTTCAACAAGACTCTTGGCTGCAGCACCTCAGCCACGGAATAAACACAGGGCTGGTGGGCACTGGCCTTGCTTCTTGCTGGGGCCGTGGAGATGGCAGGGGGCAGATGAAGTACAGAGTCTGCAGGGTCCTAGGAATGTGGCACAAGTCCTGGCATGGACATACAGAGCTTCTGTCCTCCTCTCATGCCAGGCAGGGCCTGTGCTCATGAGAAAGGGGCTCAGGATTGAGCTTTATTTGCATGTTAATCCCACATTCATCCCAAATAATTCCAGTGCTCATGCTGACTCTGCCACTGTCTAAGGGGTCAAGGCACCTTTTTATTGACAATGTAGGCAGAAGAGGTAGTCGCTAACATGACAGGACTGAGACGCTGATGGCAGCCAGGAGAGGAGAGGGCAAACAACCACCTCAAAGGTGCCCACAAACATGGCTGCAGGTTGCTCAGGGCTGCAGGGTCTGTATGTGTCAGGATTTGTCCCTCCACCATGAACAGCCTAAGAGGTAGCCATGAGAAAAGCTGGCAGCAAGACCCCCAGCTGGAGCCAGGCCACCAAACAGTTCTGGCACCACACAGTAGCACAACCTCTCACTTGTAACGTCCCCAGAGTCAGCACCTGGAGTGACATTCATGCCCAGAGCCTTGCCAGAGTTGCCCCAGAGAGTGACGTGGCCAGCTCAGTCCCTCCGATCAGTGTTGTTTCAGAGGCTCTCCCTTGCTGCACAGCCAGTGCTCAGCCATGTCCCCACATTGGTCCTTGGCAGGTGGCAGCAGTCCCCAGCCTTAGGTGTGTCTGGCCTGGGCCCGGCGGTGGGTTTGCAGGCAGGCCGTGGAGCAGAAGGAGAAGTCAAGGTAATGGAAAGGGATCCGCCCCAGCAGGGACTCTCCACAGTGCCAGCAGCGGCTGCAGGAAAGAAGAGAGCTGGTCCTGAGCAAAGGGGACACTTCCAAGAGTTAGAGGAGGAGAGGATTCACTGCCTGGGCCACGACATGAGACACCAGAAGCATGAGAGAGCTGATGCTTGTCCAGTCCTGCAGGGCTGATGTGCTCACCCAGCAGCCTAGCCTGGACATGCTCCCTGGAGGAGATGCTGTGTGGGAGGATAGTAAGAGGCACTTTGAGGGCAGAATGAACATGGAGGAATTTGGCCTCATATGTGGTTGTAAAGCCCCTGCCCAGATCAGCACAGCCTGTGCTGGCTGCCAATAAGTCTGTGGGATTGCAGAGGGAAGAGATGTGAAGTCAGGAACAGGGGCACAGGAGTGGCTGGGGAGTTGGCTTGCCATAGATCTGGCTGCAGGTGGACGAAGTAATCTTTTGCAAAATATTTCAGGGGAGCAGGGCAAGACAGAAAGAAAGCTTCTACACAAGCACTACAGGGAACTGGATGGACAGGAATAGCTTTAGACTGAAAATGAGAACTGGAGCAAGCAAGGCAGGGAACAGCTATGCTGTGACATGGGAGAGTCTGTGTGCAGAGCCATGCTGCTGGGACCATTACCTGATGTTGGCAAGCGTTGTGCCAGTGTCCTGCAGCTGCGCAGCCAACCTCCGCTCGGCAGCCAGTGCCCTCTGGGGAGCAGAGAGACAGCTCAGCCACCCCCAGCCCCTGGGAGCTGCTGTGCCCAGAGCCCACCACAGTGGCACTGCCCCAGCCAGGCTTGATCCTCTTCCCAATGCGCAGTCTCACCTTCTCCCTGTCAGACAGGGCTGCGAACCTCTGCTTCTCTTCCTGCTCCTGCTCCCAGCGCTGCCGCTCCTCCCGCTGTGCTTGCTCCCGTTGCTTCCGCTGGGCTTTCTGTGCCCGCTTCTTCTCCAGTTTTTTGGCCTCCATCTCCTGTGTCAGGGGCCCTGGTATCTGGGGGCAGAGGGCAGACAGCATTTCCCACCGAGCCTGGGGCAACAGCACAAATGGAAGAGGGGCACTTTGCTCTGGGGCCCCCCAGCTCCCAGAAGGCAAGGGCAGAGGGCAGGCACCCACCTTGGCACGGGTGTAGTCGTACTTGTCTGGATGGTCCACCATGAACTTGCGGAAACTGTTGCGGGTCGTTCTGTCAGCAGAGACGCAGTATGGGGTCCTCTCCTGCCTGTCCCTGCAAGACAAGGGAGACCAGCTCACCCTGCCATCTTACTGCCCGTGTAGTACTGGGCTGTGAGCCCAATGACTTGCCTGCAATGTTTACTGCAGGCCATGGTATCACAGCCAAGGAGGGGAAAGTTCCTTATTCCTACATCAGAATCCTCAAAATCCTTCCCTTCTTGCAGTCTGGGGCATTGCCTTGCCTGCTGCTGTGCCAGACCAGGCAGGTGGAGAGAAGGATGGTTCAGCACTTAGGCCTCCCATAACAAACCCAGACATCCAGGCTGGTAGAGACCAACCCTGTCTGTCCCAAGACAAGGGTGGCACCAGTTTCCTGCAGTTGAGACAGGAGTGAGTTGCTGGACTCCCATAGCAGAACTGTGGTTGTCAACTGCTGGGGACCCTGCAGCCATACCTGAGGGCAGGGTCCGCCCCTGCCTCCAGCAGCAGGCACACGGCCTCCGCCTTGCCTGCCCGCGCTGCCACGTGGAGCAGGCTGCAGCCACGCTCATCCACAGGCTGGTTGAGCAGGGAGTAGGCCATATCCAGAGTCTGTGTAATCTCCCCATCCTCGCTGTCGCCTTGCAGGCCCCCGCTCTCTCGCACACCCAGGAGGTGCTGCAGTGTCTGCACATCCCCTGTTTTGCAGGCGGTGAACAAGGCATCGCGGAGCCAGGTCTGAGGGTCTCCTATGAGGGAAGAACAGGAGAGAGTCTGATGCCTCCCTGGGCAGAGCGGTGCTCTGGTCTGACTAGGAAACACACATGATGCAGTTAAAGCATCATCCTGCTAGCTGGATCTGGGCACTGCAGGATCTCCAGCACCTTCAGAGTCTCTGACAACGTACCATGGCATTGCTGGGCAGTGCTGGCAGCAGCCAAGTCCTCTCCAGAGATAAGACCCACTTTAATCCCCCCAAAACACCTGGCTTAGCCAGGTGCTGCCTGGCCCTCCAGTTCAGAGCTACTGCTTCTACATACACACAGCTCACTCGAAGGCACGTGGCTGCACTACAGACATCCCACTCCCAGCTGCTCTGGGCACCTGCAAGACGTGCTCTTCACCCCATGGCAAAGCCACTAGTAAATGGGGCAGGCATCCAGGTGACCCAGCTCCTGATCCCACTTACCTCCATCACCCCAGGGAAGGGGCCCAGCCTCAGCCTCCCCCTGCAGCTCTGTCACTGGTTCCTGGCCAGGCTGCACACACTGGGTACCATGGTATCCAGTCTCTTCAGCACAGGGCTCTGCACAAGGAACACATGGTAAGGAAGACAGCCAGGGTCAGCCTGCACCCCAGCCGTAGCCTTCCTACACTGCCCCCAGACAGCTCTTCCCCCTCACCTTTCTTCACCTTCTTGTCCCTCTTCTTCTGCCTTTTGCGGTTTCGCTTGGGCATCACTTCAAACTCCCACAGGTCCAAGGTCCCCAGTGTCACTTCAACAGTCTCCAGCTCCCCTATAAGGCTTTCCTCCTTCTCTTCCTCCTCCTCCTCTGGAGCTGAGGGCGTAATAAGACTGAGGCTCCTCACACAGAATGAATCACTTAGGTCTCTCAGCTGAGCACACCCTATCTTTCTCCTGTCCAGAATGAGGCCACACCCTGCAGGTCCCCTCTGGGCTGCAAATCTGGTCCATGCCATAACATCAGACCCCTCCTGTTTGCTCAGTTATGTTTCCCTCCATGGCTCAACTCACCAGTTGTGTCCTCTTGTGGGGGATTCATCTCTGCTTTCCGCTGCCTCTTCTGCCAGACCTTCCGGGGGGACCCAGTGATATCCTCCAGTGGTGTGTCCTTCCCTGGACAGCAAGGGTGCTCCTGTCATTGCCTGGGGACAGGGAATACCCCATGTCTCCAGGGATTGAGAGATGGAGAGCTAGCACCTCCACCCAACAAGGCAGCATCCCTTCCTGCCAAGAGACCACATCACCCCACCTGCCCTGACCCACAGGCACAAGGACTGGTCCGACCTACCATACACCTGCAGGCTGGCCAGCGTGGCGTGGACTCGCAGCACCTCTCGCAGGGTGGCCCTGCGGGTGCTGAGGGGGATGTGGCAGATGCGAGGGTCCCCTCGGGTGAGGGGTGGGTTCCTGCCGCCAAAGAGCAGCGCACGGTTGTGACGAGGGGCCCGGAGGAAGATGCGCTGAGCTTGATTCAGGTGCTGTGCCCAGGCTGCCAGAAGATCCTGAATATCCTGGGGAGGAAGGGGAAGCACCCTAGGATCCTGAGCACATTGCATGGGCAAAGGTATCTCTGGAGCAGAGACAGACCCAGGATGGCCTCAGAGCAGCCTAATTTGGGCCCTGACCCTCTTGCAGAGCCCACACCCCGGCAGCAGTGTGGTACCACCTCAAAGAGCCGGACAAGAGCCCAGTGCTGTTGTGCATCCTCACCTTGAGCAGAGCAGCCTCATTGTAACGCCGCAGGGAAGCTCCAGCCGACCTGGGTGCTGACCCCTGGGCATCCCGCAGGCCCTGGGCTGTGCCGCGCCGTGCTCGCACCGTGTAGCGGTGGAAGGTCTTGTGTTCCTGCACCTCGGGGCTGGGGAGAGGGGCAGGCATGAGCAATAGGGCTCAGTGTGCATAGGATTAACGTGCAAAAGCAGCTCCACTTGACCATGCAACCCCAGCAGAGGGTTAAGCCCAGCTGTCCCTCTATACTCACCCCTGGAACACAGCTCCTGCGAAGTGCCCGCCACCCATCATCAGCACAACCCAGCACGTGCTCGTGCTGAGGCTCTGCAGTGATGCTGTCAGCTCAGCTGGCTCCTCGATGTCACCCTGATACACAGACACCCTTGCTAACACCCATGGGATCACCTCCTCAGCTCTTGCTGTCCCCCAAGAAAGAGATCAGCCCCTCTGCTGGCACCAGAAACAGGTTTCTAGGAGCACCTCAGAGCCAAAAATTAGGCTACCCGCAAGTCTGGTACTCTGACCTCGCATCAGAGACCACCCTTCCCCTCATGGGAAGTTGGGGGCTATCAGAGAGATGTCTACCCCCCAGTGTCACCCACCTTCTCTGGGGTCCCTCTCCCAGAGAGCTGGGCTGTGACTTGCCTTCCCTGTGACCAGCACGCAGCGGTATGCAGAGATGAGCTGGCCCTCAGCATTGCGGAGCAGCACCTTGTGGGAGCGGGAGGTCTGCGGGGTCCCAGGGCTGTCACTGGCAGAGGGCAGCAACTCTGACTCACTGCTTGTATCAGAGCTTTCTGAATCGGATCCTGAGATGCTGGAAACATCACCTGCAAGGGGAAAAAAAAAAAGATGCAGTGAAACAGGGCAAAGATTAACCAAACAGCCTCCCCAAAAATTCCGCAAGTGACTCCAGGAGCAAGCCTACAGCCCCAGGAATGTTCTGTCCAGTACCCTACATATCACAAGGGGCTGTGGGTTGGGAAGGCAGGGGTTTGGGGCTCTGGACCCGCAGATATGCCAAGGCAGCAGCTTAGTTATAATGTCCCCTTCTCCCTAAAACAAATCATCAAGGCTCAGGAGCAGTGCTGGAACCCCAGAAGACCCCACAGGGGCAGAATAAAGGAACCCTGATCTAGCAGAGGGCTTCATCCTTGCACAGAACAGGCCCAGAAAGGTCACTGACAGCCCCTGGACTCCAATACAGACAACCTCATTCCTCACCTGTGCGGGTCTTCTCCTCAAACACTTCCACAGGCACTGCCCGACGCCCCAGGAGTCTCTGCTTCAGGTTGAAGCGGTGCCAGTCGAGACGGTAGTGCTCAGTCTGTGGAGCAAAGAGGCATGAGCCAGCAGAGTCTTAGTGGTCCATGGAAACCCCCCCCACCAAAGGGCATGAGGTGACAGATCCTGAGTGCTAAACTGATGCTGCGACTCTTCAATGATCCTGACTGGAAGACTGCAGTACATTAAGGAACAGTTAACCTAAAGAGGTACAGGTCTGTGCTACACTTGCATTTACTTCCAGTAAATGATATTTTTAACCTATAACGTGCAAGGTTTGAGTGCCAGATCCCAACAGGACATGAGCAGTAGAGCTCCAGGAAACAGCCAGTACTGGGTTGCACCATGCTGGGGCTGAGCTTGCACAGCAGGACCTCACCAGTCATGCCAGCCCCACACCCACCTCATGCTGGCTGTCCAGCCCCACTCACCTGCTCCTCCCGGCTGCCAAACACCTGCCCACAGGTTGAGCAGCACATCTTCTCTGACACCTCGGGGACCTCATGGACCTTCTCCTTACAGCTAGTGGCTGCAGGCTTCTCTTTAGGAAGAAGGAAAGGCTGTGCACAGGCAGCTCCCCAAGCTATGCCATGAGGAACAGAGCCTTCTAGGTCCCTCTTCAGCCACCCAATGAGCCGTATGGTTGTAGAAGAAGCTTCAGGGACCTTGGGGTGACACTGAGAAAAGCCCATTTATCCGCCCACAAGGCAGGTCCCATGGCCAAGCTCCAGTGAGGCCACCTATGCTCTATTAGGGACAGAGTTCCCAATCTGTGGCTTGGGGCTGGGGGGCATGAGCTTGGACAAATACTTCCCTCCCGCCATCCCCACGGAGCCTCACGCACCGTGGCTCACTCGTGCCAGCTCGGCAGCACCTGCGTCTGCAGCAACTCCAGTGACGAGGGTCAGACCGTGAAGGAGGACGGGGTCCTGGGCAGCCTCGAACACGGACCTGCTCTCCGAGGCCGGCATTTTTCCTGCTCCTAGCGGATGGGACAGCGCCTGAGCGACAGGCCTGGCGGGTACTACCCGCAGGTGACCCACGGGCACGCCGCTCCCTCCACCCGAGCCCTCCCTGCGGCCGGGACCCTCCCACCGGCACTGCCCCCAGGATTCCGCACCATCCACGGACATCAGCCCCCCGAGCTGCCATATCCCAATGAGCTGCTGTACCCCCATCATTCCCCAAAGATACCGTACCCCAGGGGCCCCCCAAACCTGCCGTACCTCCATCACCCCCCAAACCTGCCGTACCCCAATGACCCCCCCGCCACTCACGCGCGGCCACCACCGCCCGGCCCGGAAGCGCCCCCGTCACATCCCGCTGCCGCCGCGGGGCCCGCCCTCCCCGCCCATTGGCCACCGCGCCCGCCCCCCGCCTGCCCATTGGCCGCCCGCGTCCCACCCCGCGGCCGCCATTGGGCGCCGCTGCCGCCAGTCGCGGGCGGGGCCGAGCGGGCCGCGCCGGGCCGGGCCGGGCCGGGCCGGTGGCGGCGGGGGGGCCCCGCCATGGCCCACTTCGAGACGCAGTACCAGCGCCTGGAGAGCTCCTCCACCGAGTCCCCCCCCGGTGGCGGCGACCTGCTCGTCCACGTCCCCGAGGGTGCCAAGTGTGAGTAGCGGCAGGGGGGGTTGGGGCCTGGCCGGCGGCGGGATGCGGGGAGAGGCCAGGGACAGAGGGGAGAGGCTGGACACCGAGAGAAGCCGGGAGTGGGGGCTGCGGGGCCGGTTTGGGACTTCGGGGACCCGGGTCAGAGGTAGAGAGGTGTGTTGTGCCGATCACAACAGCAGGGGTGGGTGTGCTGAGGGCCCCTCACCCTGTGCCGCTTCTTCCTTCAGCTCCATGGCATCACATCGAGAACCTGGACCTCTTCTTTTCTCGAATATCCTTTCGCGGGGCGGGGATCAGGTGGGATGGAGCCCCTGCCTACCAGGCTCTTAGTGCGGGGCAAACATGGGGTTTGGTGTAACTTAGGACTTGGGCAGTGTCTGCCCCTTCCTGTATGACACCACATGGCTCCAGAGGGGCTGGCAGAAGCCCCAAACCTTGGGATGCTGTCACCCGACACTGAGGGTCAGACAGGTGCTTCTAGGGATTCTTGGCAGAGTGATGACAGTACTAAGTTGAAGTTACCATTAATGCTTTATTTTCTTAACAGGATTTTTTTGCTAGCATACTGTTTATAATCAGAGTAGCGCAGGGTTTCTGTAAGCAGAATCGGTGTAGGACAATTTTTTAAGTAGCACAGCACAGGTTTTTGTAGCATCTCTTAGCTTATTGTTTCTAATCACCTGGATTCTTTACAGATCAGGTCATATCTTAATACATGGTTTGCTGTATCAGTATAGCAATCATAATGAGAATCAAAAATCTTATAAAAGAATATGAGTCACTCAGTTCTCAGAGGAAGCAGATGACAGTGGGGGTGTCCCTGGCTACTGGGGGGTCCTGGGTCTCACTGTCCAGCAGCAGTTCTGTTACAAGTTTCCACTTAGGACTTGTAACTCCTTGATTTTGTGGACAATGCTCTGGGTGGGGTTACACTTCCCTGTTCTCTGACGGGGTCATCACCTCTGTCGGGTTGGCCCAGTGCCTGAGACCTTCAAGGACAGCATGGAAGAGAGTAATCAGCCTGGTGCCAAGGAATCCTGAGGCTGGTTGGGAGGGGAAAGAGAAATATGTTTGATTTGTGTAGTTGGTTCACAGGACCTTTAGGGCCTGATAACTGGGGAAAGGGTGACCCTCTCAGTCATGGAGAATGGCTGCTTGCCTTATACAGTGGTGTTAGTTATGCTGACCACATTGCCTGGGTCACGAACAGGGACACCAGTCACAGCTGCTAGGTGCCATTAAATGCATTTTTGCTTGTCTCTGTGTTGTTCTGCCTTGCCCTACCCATCCTTGTGCAACCTGAAGGCAGGCTGAATTTCTCCTCTGTGCTGGGACAGACCCTGTTCTGGTTGTTGGGAGGGGGGACAAAAGGAGCATGGATGAAACCAAGTCCTCCAGTTGTGCTTTACCTGGGCAGAGTATGTTTTCCTGCAGTGGGGAATCAGCTTGCTGATGAGTAGGGTTGGGAGGGATTTTCTGCTAGTGTTGGAGGGAGACTTGACTGGGGAGCTGTAGAATACTGGTGGGACAGAAGCTTCTCCATCCTTCATCAGAGAGGACTCTCCAGGCTGTTCTCCTTGACTGTAGCTTTCACGTCTATAACCTGCATCAGAAGAATGGCTTCACTTGCATGCTCATTGGAGAGATCTTTGAGCTCATGTAAGTGCAGATTCCCCTCTGTTATGGCTGTGACATCTGCTGGGGAACAGCCATAGGCAATTGCCAAGCTCATGCATGTGGGAAGGTGGAAGGGCTCCTTTCATAGTTGTCCTGTCTCCCTCTCATCAGGGTTTTCCATGCCCCAAACCTACATTTCACTTTGAGGAACCATTGCCTATGAACTTTCCTGCTCCAATGGCTGTGGGAATGCATCTTCATGATGTGTGGCCGTGGCTGCTTCACATTTTGGGGAGGGGAGCAGAAGGGTGATACCCTCCCACCTCTCCTTTTTTTTTTCACAGGCAGTTCATCTTTGTGGTGGCGTTTACCACCTTTCTTATCAGTTGTGTTGATTATGACATCCTCTTTGCCAACAAAGCATTAAATCACAGCCAGCATCCCAGCGAGCCCATTAAGGTGACTTTGCCAGATGCCTTCCTGCCTCCAAATGTCTGCAGTGCGAGGTGGGTGCAGTGGAGGGCGTGTTAGCCACTGCTCTTGCTTTCTCAGGTACTCAGTGCACCTGTCTGGGCCTGTCTCCCATTACTTGCCTCTTCTTGCTTGCAGAATCCAGGCAAACAGCTTCCTCATCTGCATCCTGGTGATAGCTGGGGTTTTCTGGATCCACCGACTTGTCAAATTTATCTACAACATTTGCTGCTACTGGGAGATTCACTCTTTCTACATCAATGCCCTGAAAATCCCTATGGTAAGTAGCTGATCCAGGGGCTGCATTTAAGGATGCTGAGGGTCACGGGAGGAATTTGCTGGGTGAAGCAACTTTCCTGCATGCCTCCCCACTTCTCAGACTTCTACAAAGCACTTTTCCCTCTGCTCCATAACCACACGGTCTCCTTTCAACCTCTTCTTCAAGCAGCCAACGTATTCCATGTTAACCCCTCTCTGCCCAGCCTGCCTCTCTGCCGGCTGGCACACACCTCTGCCGTCTGCCACTCAATATGTGTATTCTTCAGTCATGGCCTTTTCTGTGCTGCCTTCCACGGAGAAGGCATAAGCAAGGATATCCTCATACCCCTCTGGGTTGTGGACAACCTCATCTTCTTTGTTTACTTTTGGGGAAACCAGGGCGTGGAGCTACTTAGTTGCCGAAGGTCACACAGGAGATTGGTATGTCAAAGATGGGGTTTGAGGCTTGCACATACATCCTAGTCCAGAGTCCTTGCTCTGATGGACAACTTGAAAAGGTGTGTGTACATCCTTTGAAGGGAGACGGTGTCTTGAGAGAGGTGGGGTGAGCCAAGAGGCCTGGTCTGTTGCCACCTTTTCCATGGGCTCCCTCTGGGACGCTGCTTAAGTCCCTTCCCTTTTTGTGTCTTCCTGCTGACTTGAAATGGCAGCTCTGGAAGGACCATGGGATCCTGGAGCTGTGTTTGTGCCTCCAAGGTAGCTGGTATGTGAGTGGCTGGGAAACAGTCATCTGTGCTAATCTAGGGATAAAGGGCACCAGGGCAAGGTGTGGGGTGTACCCGCTGCAGGCTGAAGCGGTGCCAGGAGGTGCCTCGTGTCCTGGTGTTGCATGGGCTTTGTCAGCACCCCAAGGCGTGCGCTGGGACCTGCTGCTTCAGTGGGCTCAGCCCAACTTCTGACTCTGGGTGCTTCCTGCCCCTAATCTTGCTACTTGTCCCCTTCCAGTCCACCTTGCCCTACTACACCTGGCAGGAGGTGCAGGCCCGCATAGTGCAGATCCAGAAGGAGCACCAGATCTGCATCCACAAGAAGGAGCTGACGGAACTGGACATCTATCACCGCATCCTCCGCTTCAAGAACTACATGGTGGCCATGGTGAACAAGTCACTGCTGCCCATCCGCTTCCGCCTGCCACTGCTGGGAGACACAGTCTTCTACACACGTGGGCTCAAGTACAACTTCGAGCTCATCTTCTTCTGGGGTCCTGGCTCCCTCTTTGAGAACGAGTGGAGCCTGAAGGCTGAGTACAAGCGGGCTGGGAACCGCCTAGAGCTGGCTGAGAAGCTTAGCACTCGCATCCTCTGGATTGGCATTGCTAACTTCCTCCTCTGCCCCCTCATCCTCATCTGGCAGATCCTCTATGCTTTCTTCAGCTACACAGAAATCCTGAAGCGGGAGCCGGGCAGCCTGGGTGCTCGCTGCTGGTCTCTCTATGGCCGCTGTTACCTCCGTCACTTCAATGAGCTGGATCACGAACTGCACTCACGCCTCAGCAAGGGGTACAAGCCAGCTTCCAAGTACATGAACTGCTTTATCTCCCCGCTTCTCACCATCGTGGCCAAGAACGTGGCCTTCTTTGCTGGCTCCATCCTGGCTGTGCTCATCGCTCTCACCATCTATGATGAGGACGTGCTGGCGGTCGAGCACGTCCTGACCACAGTCACCCTGCTCGGGGTGGGCATCACGGTGTGCAGGTGAGGTTGGGTCTGTGCTGCCCCTGTGCTCCTGGCAGCACTGTGGGGAGCAGTGGGGCTGGCAACAATTCATGTAGACATGCTCTTTGCTTGCAAATGGACATGAATCTTCCTGAGTGAGGGCCACGGCTGGGGAGAGGCAGGATCAAGCAGAAGAAAGGGG